CAGAAGCTTCGGTCTTTTATATTGACCCGCTTGAATTCGTACGGGAAACATCGCAATATATATTTATTGCCATTATTCCTATTTGATATGCTTGAACCGGGCAAGCAGTAATTATAAGCGTACCAATTTCTATCTGGCTCGATCCAAACAATGCGAATATACACGGTAATACATTACCGCATCTTTTGTCATGCATTCGCCAAGCCAGCTACGTACACCAGACACTGATGATTCTAATTTGGCGCGTTTATGGCAAAACAGTAGGCCTATAATTTGTAGTTTCCTTGTAAAGTGATGACAGCGTAAACAAACCATTTTGTACGTTAATAACTTAAATACATGTCTTAATATTTAACAGTTACACCAAGCGATGTATTGCATTACAAAGTGTCTTCTCCTCTTATTAATAGCCTATAATTGGTGTCTGTCAAACCTAATTACAACTTCTATGGCAACAGACACTTCACCCTTAATTTTTTCGCACCTAGTGCGGTTCCTCATGATGTCTACAGAATCTTGGTATGTTGAACTATAAAATTTATTTGATCGTGATAGCTAGCTGTTTTAGTTTTCCTATATGCTATTCTAAATTAAACACGGTATCGTTTTTTTTACGACATGCATCCGGTATAACTTTATAAGCCAAACAATTGTATACATTGGTATTTTAAATTTTAATATTTTTTGTATATTTCATCCAGTTAATAAAATATTGATATTTGCATGCAACAAATATGCTGTATAACGATACAGCATTTTTACCACAACTAAATGATACAGCAAGCTTATCATGCTTGCAGATACTTTAATAGGTTATTTTAAATCAAACACGGTATAAGGACATCCAGTATAACTTTATAGGTCAAACAATCACATATACAATGAACTATATATATATATATATATATATATATATATATATATATATATATATATATATATATATATATATATATATATATATATATATATATATATATATATATATATATACGTATATAGTTAATTTTGAGGCAACGAGAGGATATGTGATTTATTCACCGAGGCGCGCAGCGCCGAGGTGAATAAACATATATCCCCGAGGTGCCTCAAAATAACGTACTTATTTTTCACACTGCGAGGTCGCGTTAATGAGTCAGAATAGAAATAATTCTTAATGCCATATTGCCTTCGTTATGTTGTTTTTTTTTCTCATTTTTTGTGCTGCAAAGACATTCCAGGTGAATATTAGAGGGGATTATTAAACGGAAATTGATTAGAAGGGAATATTGAATATATTCCCCGATAAGAACAAAGGAAACCGAGCAGGGTGAAAAATAAAATAGTATAGTTCTTTGTTCATGTTTCTACGTAAACAATACGACAAAAGTACAGAGAACATTGCGATACATAACTGCATGTTTATAAATGCCACTTATATAATTGTCGTCATCTTTTGCGGTGAAACAATTGCTTGCCAGGTTTTGCACACAAATCAGTCCGATATTGGCACACATTTTTCTGGCAAAAGCATAGCGCTTGTATTTTATGACGAATGAGCGACCTTATAGCACCAAAATTGGAAGCCGTTTTTCAAGTATTGTATAATTCAACCGCTTTACCTCTGAAATATCATTTTGTTGTTGAATGGGCTGTGTTGTTTGTAAAATGAAGAATGTGAAACGACTGAGACTTTCCAAACTTGAAGCAAAGAAACTTCATATGGTTCAACAATCGGGTATATATAGCAACTTACTTAACAGTGTACTGTGTCTGTACACAGCCAGAAACGCGCAAGCTAGTTGCAGCAGGTCTGCTGCAGACTTGATCCAACCTGCGATCATCAAGCCGATATCAGGATACGTACGTTCGCATCGCTTGCTCCGTCTTGATAATATCAAGTCTGCATGTTTTCAACAGATTTGCGCAAGTTGTCAGCCACAGACTCAATTCAATTCAATTCAATTTATTAAAAAGAAAATACATAAATGAAGAAAATACTATTCCCACAAATAGCGAAAGCTAATCGAAGGTGGGGATAGTATATTTAATTATTTAACAACATTTGATATTTAACAAGATGAGATTTCGGTATAATTAGGAATAGAATATATAGGGATTGAAATTAAGATAATGAAACTACAGTCGAAACCTTATGGTATATTTTATGAAAAGTGTAAATCAGTGTAGATGTATGTTGGTGACGAAATGCTTTTAAAGAATCAAAACTCATCACGCTCTTAAGAAACTAATGAAAAAAAGAAAATCAAAAGTAAAATTCGTCAGACTTAAAATCAAACAGACATTCTCTGTATAATCAATGGGACTTCAAGGTAGTCGTCCTCATTATTCAAAATGTTAAGGAGTAATGTGTTCATCTCTTTAGCGAATTCTTTTCTCTTAAGATTACGAATATATTTTGGAAGCGCGTTCCATATTTTTGCACCAACTCTAGAAAAAGCATTTTTTTGTAGAGTTGTACGAGAGTACTTAATTTGATAGTTACCAGCAGTTGAAGCTCTAGTACCATAGGTGTGTACAGTAGCAACTTGGGTAAAGAGATCAGTTATATTCTTTGGTGTTAAATCATTGTTGACGTCATACATTAACTTCGAAACTGATTCAAAATATAACACATTCACTGGCAAATTAGTTGTATTTTTAAAAAAGGGCACAGCGTGATCTCGATTGTTAGCGAAGTGCATTATTCGTAAAACGCGTTTTTGAAGTACCAGAAGTTTTCTTAAAAATATTTGAGAAGTATTTCCCCAGATAGTGATACCATATGATAGATAAGGAAGTATAAAAAATCGGAAATATACTTGTGAGAACCTGGAAGGAACAAAATGCCTTAGCCTAGCAATAATTCCAACTGTTTTACTTATTTTAGATGCTACGTAGCCTGATCACAGACCTACATTTCGCCCGCCCTAAAATTCCCAATGTCAAAAGTGCATGTAAGTCGACCGCCTGGCGGTCGACAAAGCTGATTGGCTAATTCACAGGGAAATGGGTTGTGATTGGTTGATCGCTGACATGAAAAGATTTGAAAAGATCAGAATATTTTCAACGGTAAATAAATACGCATACAGTGTAATATTCTAAATTATTATTTTGTGATGTCGAACGACAACTATAGTCTATGATCAGTATCTACCGTCTAAAATTAAAACTAGAGCCAGTAGAGGGGAGTATAGAGCAGCACGTGTCAAATACTTCAGCGTTGTATCTTTCCGTTGTAATAAACGACATTACAATATATAATTTTTACACGATCCGAAGTTTTGTGATTATAAATCATAATATAAAACTCCGATACAATTATGTGCGCATTCATGATTTACTTAAGGGTTAGAGACTGCTGTGAGTGTTTTGTTTACAAATATACGCACGCGCTGATCGTACAATGAACGAGAAATTTCAATACAGCCCGAGGCGAAGCCGAGTGCAGTATTGAAAATTTCGAGTTCATTGTACGATCAGCAAGTGCGTATATTTGTAAACAAAACACGAACTTTACAGTCTCTAAGCCATTTAATATATAATCTGAGTTCACTGCTTGCATGCAAATGCAGTAGGCTTTTGCCCACAAAATAAAAGAAAACAATTGCAGTTTAAGACAACATTTATTAGCAGTGAAAAAGTACAAAGTTTAACAATAGCAGTTTATATAATTAATATAAAAACTCACCGAGAAGCCTGCAAATTGCATGCCAGTGCCTGCAAATTGCATGCCAGTCACTTTTCTTTTGATAAGTTATAATTAAACGTAAAATGACAGTTTTCAAAGCTTGCTTTTCCAAAGTCAACAAATTTAGGTGAGGTTGTATTTGAAAATGAGTTTTGATATCTTATTTCATTTTTGTTGTTGTTATATGTTTGTTCCGATGGTCTTGTGGGTGAAACTATTGGATCAGTTGAGGTAACTTGAATTTGCTTCCCTAAGATTTCAGAGCATTGCTTTTGTTGTTGTAAAGTTTGTCTTTCAGCATATACTTTTACGCTTCCCTCGTTTCTGTGCCCCGAGACCTGCATGATACGGTGGACTGGAATTCCTGCTCTATCAAGTAAAGTGACCGATGTTGCCCTTATACAATGATTTGTATAAATTTGGCTTAGTTTAGCTGCACTTGATATTTCTTTCATCATATTTTCCAAGGTGTTGACATCAAACCAGATTTCGTCGCTAGCGGAAAAGTTACTTTTTGGCCTTTGGAAAAGTGCCTCTTCCACAGGGTTAAGAACTTGAATGAACGTTTTAAGGTACTGAACAGGACAGTGATTTTCACCAGTAGAAAACATTTTAGGGTCCGCCTCGTCTGCCTTGTCGCTAAGACCGCCAGGATGATTTTTTGTTTTTTCTTGCTCGGCCATTTCAACATACTCAACATTTATTTGCATCTGTCTTGAAAATTAAACTGTTCTTTGACAATTTTCTTTGGTTTTCCCTGCCTCTTCGACAGAAATATAGGTTTATGTTAAACCAATTCACTCTTGATAACGATAGAGGGGAGTCGTCTCCAAAAATACCACTCTCGTAACATTTTTGTATGTCCTCAGGCGGGATACTCGAGTGATGCTTCACTTTGGACGAACCACACATTCCTTGATTTTCTTTAGCTTCGCATTCAAGGATTTGTTTGCTGTCTTGAAAATGGGATCACTTATGATTGAATTTTCCTACTTTTTCTGAAGTTAAATATCGGTTTATTCCCGCTCTTATAGCAACATGAGCTGAACGGCTGTATTCTCTTCAGTCGTCTTGTTTTAGTTCTTGATAAAACTTTGTTAGTCGTTCTGCTAGTATTTCTTTGCTTAAATTTCCCAGCTCTTCGAAAGGATATCTCAAGTGCAACCATTCTTCAGTAAAAGGAATGATAAGTATATTTTAAAATGCTGTGAGAACAAGACAAGGAATGCAACAACCAACAAAAAATTGGACTTTTCGAGCACTTGTTTACACACGGAAAAATGGCGAATAATATAAGCTTTTGCTTGCTTTACTGACCTCTGAGGATGGCAATGCTCCAGCTTGTTTGTCTTTTCGTATTTTTAGGTATTGCATCCTCTATAATCTGATTAATTTCTTCCTCATCGACTCGAGCAAACCATGAGCAGGCAGCCCCGCTGGCAGCCATTTTCAATAATGCACATTTTTTATGCGTTATTGTCAATAACGCATTCTCAGGATTCGTTGTTGCCAGGTAACAAAAACACACGTGATCTATTTTGACCAATGACGTGCGTGCATTTTGAACAGTGAACAAAGATTATATATTAATGCGCCGTAATGCACGCGCATTAGCCAATCAAATCGTCTGTTAAATCACACTTATATTATAAAGGTTATTAAAGGCGTGCAGGTCGGCTAAAACCAAGCAAAAGCCATTTTAAACATTAATTAACCATACCCTGCTTTTTCGCATTCAGAAAGATCTCCGACTCTGTGTATTAGTATTGTATTAGTATAGGAAAAATATTACTGAAGGACGGCTTCGAAAATCTCCTTCGAAGAAACACGTGTTTTGTAGCCGAGTGTTGCGAAATTTGTCAGCAGATGTAAATTACGCGCATCATTTGCGCATGTGCAAAACAACGATATCACGTATTTCACGTATTTTGAGAATATTCGGTATTACCCGTGCCAGACTATCGCCTGCGCTACCTGACGCTGACGCTTTCGCATATCATTATATATAAACCAATCACAATCGTGTTTCTATCACACGTTCTTCTCGAGCTTTGAGCTGCCATATTTGAAAACATTTCTAGCAGATTTTCTAGTCTATTTGCGATTCTGTGCAATGAAATGGAGATAGGAAAGAGAACTAGAATAAGCGACAACCAGAGAGATATTTTGGAAAGGTTTTACGGCCGTGGAATGGTCGGTGTTGGTCCAAATTATCGCGAAATGATCGAAAGCGCTGTAGCAGAAACTGGCTTAACAACGACTCAAGTTATAAAGGTAAATATAGATATCATAGTGATGTTAATGTTGACTATTTACTATTAAAGACACTAGATGACATACAAAAATATACTAATATAAACTAGTATCAGGCCTTGCTTGGATGAAAACCAAGATACTTGATCAATAGTGCAGCTACTGTGCATTCAAAGCACTATTTTCTATGCACCTACTTAAGCGAGAGTCTACTTCGTATATTGTTATTACATGCCTAGTTGACAGTCTGAACTTACTGTAACATGCATGTTTCCCCATTGATGAGTGAAATTGTCTGGCGTTAGACCAGTAAAAAAAAGTAGGGGCACTGGGGCACATTACGTCTCAATGGGTTTAATGCACCTATCGATTTTAAGCCCCAGAGGGGGGGGGGGGGATCGGGCATAGGTGGGGCATTTGATTTTTCGAGCACATTTTCAATCAAATGCCCCCACCGTCGGGCAATAAATATTGGTCAAATGCCCCACCATCTTGCAATAAATTGCAATAAATACTATGTTAATAACAGTCATTCGGTTCAAATTGCCCCAACTCGGGGCCAAAATGCTAATCAAAATCCCCAGGGTGGGGATGGAATTGATAATCAAATACCCCACATATGCCCGAACCCCCCCCCCTCCCCCCCTTTGGGGGTTAACATTGATAGGTGCATAATAACTAGAGACATTGTCAGATTTTTTGGTTAACCCCTTAAAGTGCAGAGCTTCCCCATTGGCATTAGACAAGCAAAAAAGTAGGGTGCACTGGGACGCATTGCGGCTTAATGAGTTAATAGGCATGCACACACGATCAAGCGCCTTCCTAGGCTAGACCTGTAGGGGTGCACCAGAAACCATTTTTTTAAGTTCCGGCTGGAACTGGATCTGGCCGGAACTGGAAGAAAGTTCCGGCTGGAACTGAGTCATATGGTCATATGTTACTTTGTCTGCTGCCAGACAGTCAGACACTTTCAGACATGAAACAGAGAGCATGCAAATGTTAGAATAAAAAGATTGACTATTGTTAAACAACATAATGAAGTGTAAATATCCATGTGTTTGAGTCAAAATAGTATAAACAATCGAGCCATTTTATAGTCAATTGAAACCATTGTTTTACCTTAAATTAATTGAAAGCTCAAACCTAGCTTATATATCAAACATATCCGACTGGATATTCTGGCCGGATAGCAAAATGCTCTACCTGGTTCAGTGGTTTACCCTAGGCTTACTAACATTGTCTTGGTGAAGCAATAAAATGCAAATATTCAGCCATGAAATATAACCATGTGGTGATTCATCAGTTTTGTATTCTGCTCTTTTATGCTACATATCTAATAACAAAGTGATAAAGTAAGAGTAAGAGCAAAGAGAAAATCACTCTACATTGATATTGTGTGCTTCAGGAAATATATCTTCAAAAATGATAGAACTCTGGCTAGGGCTCCTGTGCAACTAACACTAAACCACATCATGTTGCATGTTTTATTTCTTTAAGAAGGTCTCTGACCGTGCTTTTTTGTCGCCACCATGACAATGCACGTCAATGCTTTTTGTTTTGCTAAACCGTGTTTTCTTGTATATAAATATATAGGATCCTTGTTAATAAGATTCACTAGAGGTTGAGATTCAATAAATGTTCATATAACTCATAAAGGGGTCAAGATTGTGCCATATGGGGGGGGGGGAATTTGGCATGTTGCATTTGTCAAATCGTCGGAATGAGCTTGGTGACCTCAACATTTATGTCTGTTTTTATTATGAGGATATCATAAACTTCACCCCTGGGAAGTTTCCGCAAATTCTCATTCCCAGAACAATATTGATGAATCACCTAGAATCTTATTTTTATAATGTCCTTTAGATGAGTGCAAAGATTTGATGTTGATTGAGAAAAACCAGTTGGCTTCTGCAGCATGGAAGCTCACAGGTGAAGATGAGAAGCAAGTGTTCAAGAGTTCATCAGATGACCTCGAATCATGGCTGTTGGCAAAAACATGAAGCACAGCCAGGAGGAAAAACCTTTAATTTTGCCCGTTGGCCCCGTTTATACCGAAGCAGAAGAAAGGTTTTGGTTATTCTATTACGCTGTTGCGGTATTTGAAAAAAAACGAAAACCGATACCGGAAAAAAAATACCGATAATACCGATATATCAATATTTTTTCGCGATTGTAATTTGTTTAATTTTATGCCAAATTTGCTTAATTTTACGCAAATTTTCTGTTTTCAAATAACGCCAAACAGCCGCGGCATATTGGGATATAACAACAGAGATGTTTTACTATTTTTGTAACTTGTATTTATTAAAAGATGTTTAACAATATAGTTCTATTTACAAATTTTCTGCCAGAAACACAAGCATATTTGCTTGTTCTGGCTTTAGCTGAGACCTTTGTGCGGTGACAATCTGACCGGCTTTACTGAACAGTCTCTCAGACGGCGAACTGCTTGCAGGAATTGACAGATATTTTCGTGCCAACTGACTGAGCATTGGGAAGTCTCGACCGTGGCATTTCCACCACAACAAAGGATCATTGTCGCCATCGATTGTGTCTGTATTCACGTATTTCTTCATCTCCTTTTCCAATAAATCCCGCAGTGACTGCGCTGGCGATGACACTTGAGACGATTTCCGCATGCTAGTGATGGAGCCAAGCGTCTTCTTGACTTTCTTCTGTGGTGGTTGGCATGGTTCATCTTCAGATGCATTGCTTGTGACGAACACAGCTTCCTTTAAAAGAGCATTCTTGACAACAGCAAACTCGCTTGAGCTTGACTCGACCATCGATTCAACATCGCAATCTTCGTCGTTGTCAGTAAAAAAGTCGGTCTGCAAAATATATATAATATAACAAATATTAGAATTAGTAATTAATTACCAACTGTAGAGTAAACAGTTCACTTCAAAACCCTACAATACAGGAGAGCCGCTTACGCTAATTTTTGCATATTTCTTAATTATGTTGCACACAAAATATGCAGTTTTATTAAGCGGCTAATACTGTACCTTAAATCTTGGATCAAGAAAGCACGTGATATCCATCAACAGTTTTTTTTCTTCACATGAATATTTGACTTGAAGGGCTTTCAATATCTTCTTCTTAATGGACACAGTCATTGGCAGGTCTCCATTCTTTGCAGCGAGTTCTTCGTTTTTGAGCCGACGAAGGATTGGTGTGAGCGCTGATATTGTCACATATTCGCTTCCACTCATGATGTCGGTGAAATCAGCAAGAGGTGCAAGAGCGGCATCGACTGCTTCCAAGACTTCAATGTCTTGCCACTTTGGCACCAAGTGAGCCGTATCCCTGTCGTCACCAAGTACACGACGAATGGCCTTCTTATTCTTTAGGACTCTCGCAATCATCTTGTAGGTAGATCCCCAATGAGTTGAGCATTCCTAAAGAAACAAAAAGACAAAATTAAAATAAAACAAACGCAAAAGTCAAAGCTAAGCCGTTCATCTAAAAGGAAAACATTGTCGTATGATGCAAACAGAAATCTTTTAATAAACTGTGAAGTGTGAAGGAACAAACAATGCGAAAGTACATACCGACGCGAGTTTTAATGGAGGGTTTTCTGGATCTTCTTGAAGTTGTGCTTCTGAAAGAGCCTTTTTTCTTTTCCAACTCATATTGAAGGCTGCAACACTCTTCTTGCAAACACCCACTGCACGCTTCAGATTTGGTTCTTTCGCTATAGTGTTCGTGATTGCCAGATGAAGGTTGTGACCGAAACAGGTGATATTGTTCCATTCCTTGTCTTTGCACGCCTTGACGATGTTTGCCCCATTGTCCGTTGTTAACACAGTCATCTTTGCTGGGTCAAGTCCCCAGTAGGTTAGGATATCATCTAAACAACTACCGAGTTCTTCCGCGGTATGATCCTCAGGCACATATTTCGTTCCTAGACACCGATTTTTTAAGTTCCATTCATCGTCAATCCAGTGCAAGGTAAAGCCAATATAGGGCGTCATGCCGTGTGAAGACCACATGTCCGTTGTGGCAGCGAAAAAATCCACGCTATCTTTCAGTTCACCCAGAACTCTTTTTCGCGTCGTGTCGTAAAGTTTGACCACACGCTCTCTTGACTCGGGACTTCGTAACATGGCTCTAAGACGCGAAGTAAACGCTTAAAGCCGGGGCGTTCGACAGCATTAAATGGAACGCTGTCTTTTGCCAAGAAATGCGTAA